AAAGTTGACATCTACACATTCTAGTAAATATGTTTTGCATGTTCTTTTAAGAACATCCAACAGTTTTCACCAACAATACCAAAATATGTGATTCACTGTGGACCAGGAAGACAACTGTCCTATATAAACCTTTAAACCAATGATAAATAGCAATATCAATACAAGTTATTACAACAATATCTCTGACAAGAAGGCCTATCAATTCCAGTATGGCTGACTGTCTTATGACTGATACTATGATTCAATACTATGTAAATCTATTCATGTGGATATCTCCACAACTGTTGACAACAAGTAGTACTCCGACACTGCTGGACAAGTCATCACAGTGCACAACCTGACACAAATAGCAGCCCTTGGCAACGCAGCCACAAGTCTTCTCCACCGCTATTCCTCCTGGAAACTCCCTCCACAGTGACTAATACCTCAGAAAATTGCTCCTGTCTATAAATAAGCCCTAACCTAGTGAATTCCTGTGGATAGTTGCTGGATCAAGGAAGAAATCACCGCATTACTTTGCCATGATGAAACTTCAAAAATGGACTGGTAAACAAGCTGGTAATTAAATACCATTAGCCATGAGATGGAAGAATCGCCTACCCGTTACACTGATACGACATGAGTGAATACCGTCAGTGTCTGTCTAAAAGCTCTCACTACAAATATAGCAAATCTATGAACATCAAACGGAACTAATTGTCTAATAGCATCTATTTCAGGTTTAGTTCTTTTTCAAAGCTGATACTGATGATGTTATGGATATAATTACGATAACAGCAGCATGTTCAATGCCAGTATAAAAGATCTTTCAGAAGCATGATGCCTCAAGATCATGAAACTCCTTTCTAAAGTACAAAAAACATATCTTTCCCAATAAAATATCTAATGAAAATACATTTATCCATCGTTACCATGGATACTGGGTTCCAATGCACATGTGGAAAAGCATATTATTAACAAACATTCGAATTCAAGCCTCCTCTTTACTGAAGTTGTACTAAGAGGTCTAATTGCATTTCTTTGGGTTATGAGTGAGTGAATTATGTTTGCATGACTTTCAACAATATTCCACCAATATTAAGTGGGACAAAAGGAATGGCCTCACACATGGTGCCTATGTTGTGATTCAAACCAGGACCTTCAGTGCCAGTAGCAAACACATGTACCACCTGGCCACACAGCATCTCTCTTTCCCATGGTAACACTACTTAGTGCAAAAGCACACCTTAAGAAATAGGAAAATTCCATTTCTATTGAAATACATTTCCATCGCAAACAAGTCAGTTTATCTAGAAAGAATGAACAATACCTGGGCATAAAAAAGAATATCCACTTAACATTAAATTATGGCTTTTAGGCAACAATTTCGGTATTAATCTCCTAAAAGCTTTATGCAAGTTGTCCCGCTGCCAAGTATCAGCAAAGACACTGATATGTCAAAAGGTTACGTGAGCTTATAAGCTCAGCCTGTGGACCAAGGTTCCTCAGACAATGGATAACATAAGCAATATTTATGATCTTGAGCTTAAGCTCAGCAGGTCATGGATAATATATGTGACATAACCCCATCTTTACCTTTTAGACAAGAGGGATAATTAGTACATATCACACAGCCCATGAGCTGTGACACAGGAACAGTTCTTACACTGAAAAACAGCCTGAAAAGAAAAAGATGCTTGAAATGTGACATGTCTAAACATGTTAAAGGTAGCCATCAAGCGATACTCAAAGGTTGGAAGACCAAAAGAAACACATGACCTTAACCCTTTCAACACCGCAGGCCGCTTAAGCGGCCACAACGTTATGAGTCCCCAGACACCGGAGGCCGCTTATGCGGCCAGGCAGTAGTCACGTCAAAATCAGACATAATTTTAGGAACCTACCTGACTTATGATTCATATATTAAATCTATCACATTTCACAATGTCTGAAAACACTTATTAAATTTAAATTTATCATATATTATCAGCAGAATTAAAATTATAAACTATTTTTCGCAATGTTCTTGAAAACAACGATTCTCGGACACATGCTTCGGCAGCGGGTCCACAATAACATTGTCAAAGAGCAAAGTAACGATGTTTCGAGGAATTCATTAAATAAATTGAATAAACTAATGAATAAAATCAACAACAACATTCATAAAAGTTGTCAAACGTACATATAAAATTATTATTTCCATCTTTTTGTGCGATCATGTAATGTAAGTCAAGTCACTGACAAGTGACATCCCGGCTCTCGCCGCCGCCTCAATCTTCACGCTCGGACACGATGTTTAATGCGAAAATATATACATGAAGCATTTTTGTCACAGGTCATAACCTACCACGATACGTCCAATAAGTTCCATAATTTACGTATAGGTAGCGATTTCTTGCTTAATATGTTCAAAATAGCATTATTTTCCCCAAAACTTTCGTCTAAATCTAAAAGTTTTCGTTTACGAGGACGTCATCCATTGCCGTAATATGATTGGCTGCCTTAGGTCACGTGTCTGATTTTGACCAATCACGACCCTTATAGCAGACTGTAGCGAAAAAGCGTCATTAGAAACCAATTTTTATCCAATAAAATCGCTTCTTACAACTGTGAAAATACTCTTGGCAAGGGTTCAGTGATATTGTTGATGTTCAGAGCTTTCGAACGATACCCGACATCAGACGATTCGCCTCCCATGTTATTCATACGACGCTTCGAAAACGGAGGTATTTTCCGTTGTTATGTCATGTTACCGAGCGGAAAGCCACAGATATCGGGAAATAGGCGACCATACATATTATTTAAGAAATATTTTTTATAATAGTTTTCTGAATACGTAAAAATGAAAATAGAAAAGAAAAAGGCACGGGCATGTTATGACATGTCACAAATGGAAAAAAATCGCCATAGTTTTTGCTTCTTTCGTGGTTTATCTGGACGTTATAAATGTAAGCTTGCGTGTTCATTAAAAATTCATTTTATTTAAGTTGTAGTTGTATTATTTGAATAATATTATAAAAATAAACTTCATATTTATCAACAGTAAGATTAGATCTTTTAAATGGTGTATGGGATGTAGTAGCAATAACGTTTTACAAGCTTATAATTTCCTTCATAAACATAGGCTTCATCTATGACCTCAGAGTCTCTGGGAACTCGGTGTCATGGCAGTAAATGCCTCTGGTTGACTGGTGTTGAAAGAGTTAATACATCACTACAGAATTCTTTATTGAACTGGAGTGAGTGAGTGAGTATGGATTTATACCGCTTTTAGCAATATTCCAGCAAATATCACGGCAGGGATCCCAGAAATGGGCTTCACACATTGTACCCATGTAGAGAATCAAACCCAGGTCTTCGACGTGACGAACCAAGGCTTTAACCCATTAGGCTACCACACCTCCCTCCTGAACTAGATGTCAGAGTTAAAATTTACAGTTATATGTGTAGTTTACAAAACTAGTTGCTGACACAGTTGTGTTAGGCTCATCTTGGGAACATGTCATTTTTCGGCATGAGTGTTTGATGGCTACCTTTAAGAGCAGGATTATACACAAAGAAGGAACATAGCAGATAGTTTATGTTTTTGTTTGTTGTTTAAAGGTGCACTCAGCAATATTCCAACTATAGGATGACAGTCAGTAACTAATCGAATCTGGACCAGTGACTAATATCATGAGCATTGATTTACATACACATTGGATGACCACCCTTTCCTGCTGGTTACCTCCTTGGGCATGTATGGCTTGTTGAAGAACAGTTCTGATCTGATTCTTCATGGTGAGAAAGGTAAAGGAGGTTTATTTCATAAATTGTAAGTTATGTGTATTAAAGTGAGTGAATGAGTATTGTTTTACGCCGCTTTTAGCAATATTCCAGCAATATCATGGTGGGGAACACCAGAAATGGGCTTCACACATTGTAACCCTATAACCAGTTTGAGGTAAAACGCTAAGAAAACTTATTTGACTGTTACTTTGCCGTCCAAGTAAGCAATGCTCTGATTGGTCTGATGATAGATCATTCTGATATTGCCTGTAACAGGATGTCCTAAAAAGTTTGTTTGGTGGCAGCAAGAACTAAGAATTTTATTTTAATGAGATTAAACTGCTCTTTGGATACCTTATGGGCAGAAAGTGTCAGAAATGGGCTTTCCTTTTTCTTTCTAACCAGAAGTCTATATTTATCTATGCTTGTTGTAGCCTAGTGGTTAAAGCTTTCGCTCATGAGATCCGGGTTCGATTCCCCACATGGGTACAATGTGTGAAGCCCCTTTTTGGTGTCCCCAGCGGTGATAATGCTGGAATATTGCTAAAAGCAGCGTAAAACTAAACTCACTCACTCACTTGTTGTAGCGACTGAATACACTCCTGGTTCTTGGCTGATTGCATGCCATTGTAACCTGTTTGTGTGGCTCATGACATCAATCAATGGTTTCTTTCATTCAGTCTTGAATAAGTACACATTACTGTCACACAGCTGGAATATTGCTGAACATGCTGAACTCAGGATAAAAACACACACAAACAACACGAAGAAAAACAAGATTCTGGTAAAATGAAAAACAGTCAAATTCGTCATTGAATTCATCATAAAAATACTGTTATGGGCAGGCAAAAATTATCAAAATAATCACAATGAACTTTATTCATAACTTGAAAAAAATCCTACTCAAGGAATTGGAGCCATATTTTTTAAATATATTGATGCAATAATACACTTTACCAAAGTCTTGTCGCAAGAGTGAGTGAGTGAGCTTAGTTTTATGCCGCACTCAGCAATATTCCAGCTATATGGCGGCGGTCTGTAAATAATTGAGTCTGGACCAGACAATCCAGGGATCAACAGCATGAGCATCGATCTACGCAACTGGGATACAATGACATGTGTCGACCCAGTCAGCAAGCCTGACCACCCGATCCCGTTAGTCGCCTCATACGAGAAGCATGGGTTACTGAAGATCAATTCTAACCCGGACCTTCATGGGTACTTGTCGCAAGAGAACATTATGGGGACCTTACCTTTATGAATGAAGGTTCTCTGTCTGGGGACTCTGAGCTGGGAAGCCTATCCTTCCACACTGAGGGCATACTTATAGCTAATCCACTGTTATCTCCTATAGGTGCGAAGTCAGGAACCAAGGAGGCTGGCTTCTCATCTGTTGTTATACTGTACTTCCGTATCACATCCTTATCTTTGTCCTTATCCTTGGAACCATGGCCTTTCCTTTGTAACACACTGGCTGAGCTTGCACTTCGTAGAATGGGTTTCTTGGGGGCAGGGACACTGAGGAGATGGTCTGTACACTCCAGAGAAGGAACTGGAGAGTGGCGATGAGGAGTGGAGGGAGCTGAAGAGAACACTGTCGCATGTTTGCGGGAGTCGGGACTAAGTAAATTGTTTGCATCATCAGTTGTTTCCTCATCATCATCCGTCGACTGCTCCACTATACTCTCCTCAATGTTGCTTCCTGAGGAGAGAATGTTCTCTGAGCGGGACTTGGGTTTCGTCCCTTCCTCAGATATCCGGAAGTCGTCATCAAGACTTCCTTCTCGGTCCTCCTTGGACAAGATAGGAGCACTCTGAGACTGGTTGGAGTCCATGACTTGGGGAAAGTCAGACATCTCCCTAGTCTTACTGCCACTAGGGTCACTTTTGGATTTCTGTTTTAGAGATTTACCATTTTTCCGATCACCAGGATCGTTACTCTCTCCTACAACACTTTCCATAACATCTTGGTAAGTGGGATCATCCCCTGCCTCACTGGCACAGAGCTGACTGTCAGCTAGAGACAGCTGACTGTGTTTCTGGTCATCCTCACTCTCTCCCGAGGAGGACTTTAAAGCTCCAAAACCATTACTATCCACGGAACCTTCTTCCCGGAATGTAGCTTTCCTATGAGGGGGATGTGTGATAAAACGAACAGGAGACACTTTCTGACCAGCACCACCCTGGTTAGGTTCACGGCGCTGGGATCGTTTGTTAGACTGGTCGTCACTTCTCCCTGCTTCCTCTCTTCCATACATTTGCTGGACTCGACCTAATGTAGCCAAAGTTGTGATTCCAGTCCGTCTTTTAGGACATGGAGCAGTGGCAGCTAACTTCAGGAAAGGGGAGTTACGACCAATTGGATGATAAGTGAAAGTACTAACTTGAGGGCTGGAGCCTTCCCCCTCACCAACACCTTCATCATCTCCAGATTTTTCAATATTCAGTCGAACAAAAGATCGACTTGTCTTGATATCATCTCCTCGCTGATCGTCACTTTCTGGTGTTCTCTCACGTAGACCAATAAGGTCTGGGCTATCTGCACTGCCTGCACTCTCTGCTAGATCTTCTCTCACCAGCACGTCAGGCCCATCAGTGCTGCTCTCTCCTGTCAGGGCCTCCATCTCAAGGTCAACAGAATCCTGAGACTGTACCATTGCAACAGACTCTAAAACTTGTCTCTCTGTAGGATCTGAAGCCATATCTGTTGGGTATTCCTCCTGAGGTCCTTCCTGTGCTGTGTCTGATTCAGTCTGATTACAAAAATCAGCTTCGGAGCCACAAGCATCGGCTTCTGACTCCATGGGACTTGTTGGTTTCGCTCTGTCTGGGAGTGCATCAGATGCCTCTGGAATGTTAGCACTTCTGTGTTCTGTGCTATACTTTCCACCACTTTTGAGTTTGTCTGTAAGCTGTTTCAAACTGCGACTTCGGTTCCTTGAAAAGGCAGATCGCGGCTCATCCACTATGGGAGAACCCACGACAGGTGACGCAGAAGGAGATGTGTTTGTTGACTGGGACTTTCCTGGGGATGCATGAGACCTCAATCCATGCATTCGACCATAGGTTTTCGGGAAATCGACTTTGTTGAGGTTCATGATATCTTCCATTATCGACTTAATATCACCTCGGCCAGGGTCAGTCTTTGACCTTGGACTTGTGGACCGGCTGCCGGTAAACGATGGCAGCTTTGGTCGCGTGATTTTCGGTGAAAACGAACTTGACTTTGGTATAGATAATTTGGGCTGTTCCTCCTCAATTTTTTCGTCCATCGTATGTCGATTTTATAAGTCATGGGAAAGCCGCAAGAAAGTATTGTGTCTACAACCAGGGAATACAGATACCATGGTAGAGAGATCAACAGAACGAAAAATCAGAATTTTGACCGAAGAAAGGGTTCAGAAAACTGGTTTGAGAGGGACAGGATCCAATAGATTATCAGAAACGAACTTAAGCAAACTGTGTCCTTTCACATTTTGGTATAGTGTTCCACAGGAATGGATAGAAATGTTTCCACCACAGTTCTGACTTGTTTGTCATCTTAGCAGGAACATTCCACGAGTTGCCAACACTTGAAACCATTCTTCTCTCTCATGATCTGAAACAAGCAGAAACTGCAAATGAATGATCACATAATAATACAGTAATAATTAATCAAATAATTAATCACCTACCCATTCAATCAAACTTCTGGATGAATAAAAGTACAAAATGCAGACCTTTATTATCATAGACAATCATGACAGACTGTTTGTCAGAAAATTGTACTTCTAAAATTTGTTTACATCTTATCCTCAAATATAATCAGGGACTTATCTAGATCTTATCATAGGCCGAAATCATGCTCCATTTCTGAAGCAATTGTCAGCAACAATTCCAAAACCAAGAAATTGCGAAGGTATGTTATGTATTAACTAATACTGGCAGAGGTGACTAGCATTTCACCGCCAACAGTACCAATAAAATATGAAGCCAGGGGTGGAAATAACCCATTGCCCGACGTCCGAGTCCAGTGTTTTTTTCTGTCGGGCAAACAAATTTGTATATCACACTATACCGGTGTCCAGTTGACTTTCCAATGTTAATTATGTTGTTTATTTAAAAAATCAACAAGAAAACGGCTGGTATAGTGGAAAATTTATCAGGGCAAGTGATTTTACATGTGCCACTGTACCGGAGTACACTTGCAATTTTAAAGTTATTTCCATCCCTGGAAGCATTGGGTAAAATAATAAATTCCCACAAATTTCTTAAAATAAAGGTAGTGGGGAAAGTTCTCCAAAAATTGAACAAACACACTCTTCCAATTGTGTTTTGGCTCTGGAAACCTTGTTCAAATCCTTGAAAATCATGATTTGATGATGCCTCTTATTGTAAGAAAAAATTAACAAGACAATATTTGATCTAAGTAATAAAAGAATATGTTTCAGAAATGTTGATTATAAAAACCACACATATAAATAACAGGGCTTCTAAACATGCTGATCTCAATTTCCCTGCCCACTCCCATGAAAATCAAATGGTTGTTCCCCAGTATCAACTAGGACAGTGAAGGTAATTATTTTTTGCCAATTAATGTTAAATCTTTAAACAACAAAGTTAAAATGGCTGAAAGTGAAATCTGTCACCTGTTGTACTACATGAGAAGGTCAGGGTCATTAAGGTGTGATACACTCCAACAATAATAGGTTTGCGATTAGCGAAAGATATTTTAAAATGACATTTTTCTCAGCCATTTAAAGAGAAATGTTTGAAGAAATATACATTTAAGTTAAAAGCTTAAATACAGCGCCTCGGTACAAAATATTATATCACTGACAACTTGAGCTAACAAAGATACAATGTGAACTTCATATTCAAGTGTCTGGACAAACAACTCTGTTTATTTTTCACTTAGGTTATCTTTCAAGGGCAGATAACTCTGCTACAGAAAACAAATAATTGACATGACCTATTTTCATCTTATGTTTTCAAACATATATCGGCTATCTTATCTTTTAAGCTGTCTTGACACTCCTTAACATGATAAGGAAACATGAAGATTGTATATTCTAAAACATGTAGAACTATCCTTAAATATGTCCTAAAATCTGTCTAAAACGACTTGCCTGGAGGGTTTATTCATGTTGAACATGGACACTTCAATAATTATTTTTTGTCACCATATGATCAAAATATTGACGATGTGACATTACAATTTCAACTAGACACTCATTCATGTTATATTTTAGTAAATCCGTCAGTTGGTAAAGACAATCAGGTACACAAAAACTAGGCCATACCGTAAGGAATAAAGTGAACGAGAAGATTGAAATACACTAGACTGACTAAACTCCCAAGTTATTGCCACATCAACAATGGACTCAATGTCCAAAGATGAGAAATAAAACCAATAAAAACAATACATGACAGCTGCCTTACCAGAGACAGAGGAGGGGAAGGGGGAGAGAAGAAAGGGAGAGGATATGCTTTGTTTCTTGTTTAACACCACTCTCAGCCATATTACAGCTACATGGCGACAGTCTGTAAATCATCCAGTCTGGACCAGCCATTCCAGTGATCAACACCATGGGCATCAAACTACGCAATGAGGATACGTTGCCAACCAAGTCAGCAAGGCTTGCCACCTAATCTCGTTACTCGCCAAACACTTAGTCTTAGTTAGCCTCACAAGCACGGGTTGCTGTAGATCAGTTCTACCCAAATCTTCACAGGTTTAGAGAAAGACTGACTGACTGAGTTTGGTTTTACGCCGCTTTTAGCAATATTCCAGCAACATCACGGCGGGGGACACCAGAAATGGCTTCACACATTGTACCCATGTGGGCATTCGAACCCGGGTCTTCGGCGTGACGAGCCAATGCTTTAACCATTAAGCTACCCCACGGCCCCGTTTAGAGAAAGAAAGAGATTGGGTGGATAGAGAGATGCCATGACTAATAACAGATATATAACAGTAATATTGAAGAGTCTGGAATTCTTCAATATCAAATTCTTTGGGACAGTATATGTGTAAAAAATAGTTATCTTTACGACCGTCATCAACATCAACAAACAACTTCATGAGTAATGTGACAAAAGAGGATGGACCATTAATTGAAAGACAGCAATGTCACAGACAAAGAGATGGCTTGCTCAAATGCTTAAAGCAAATTCAAGACAATAAGGGCAACCATGTTAGCACAGAAATATTGGTTGCACTTATTTACCCTGTCACATCATACAATGGGAAGCGTTGTCAATATCATTGGTCTCACCAGAGAAAGGCAATCAAACTCCACCAAAGGCATTCCTCAGGACACATTCTGCATTTTGGGATGATCAAGTTACACACTTATGTGTGCCTAAATGTCTGAATAATCTTGGTAATGGATCAAAAAGACATTTTCAATATGGCTTTCATGGCAGCCATGTTTAAAATGGGATTAGAATTATGTGAGCAACAAAGCTTTGAACAATTCACTGAACAAGTCAACTCACCTGTGTTCAAAAATAAAAGATTTGTTCATGTTATGGTGGATGTAACGCAAGGTTGCATAGACGTCAACCCACACAACACCACAGACAGAAAAATTATATCTCAATTTCTGCATGAAAAGTAGCACATGGTACTTGAACACTGAACATACAAAGTCTTTCAGTCAATCTTATCAACTGTTTTTCACTGATAAGGATTCAAGGTCAGACAGATCCATGCACACCTTACAGCAGTTCTCAGGCAACTCCGTATGTACCTGTACCAGCTGTTGTGAGACAAATGTGAATGTACCTGTACCAGAAATGTCAGACAAATATGTATGGACCTGTACCAGGTAAAAAATCTATATGAACATGTACCATAGATCTGTATGTACATGTACCAGATGTTGTCAGATCTGTATGCACCTGCACCAAGTGCTGTCAGACATATCTGTACGAACCTGCACCAAGTGTTGTCAGACATATCTGTACGAACCTGCACCAGGTGTTGTCAGACATATCTGTATGTACCTGCACCAGGTGTTGACAGACATATCTGTATGTACCTGCACCAGGTGTTGACAGACATATCTGTATGTACCTGTACCAGGTGTTGTCAGACATATCTGTATGAACCTGCACCAGGTGTTGTCAGACATATCTGTATGTACCTGCACCAGGTGTTGACAGACATATCTGTATGAACCTGCACCAGGTGTTGTCAGACATATCTGTATGTACCTGCACAGACATATCTGTATGTACCTGCACCAGGTGTTGTCAGACATATCTGTATGAACCTGCACCAAGTGTTGTCAGACATATCTGTATGTACCTGCAACCTGCACATAGTGTACCTGTCAGGTGACATATCTGTATGAACCTGCACCAGGTGTTGTCAGACATATCTGTATGTACCTGCACCAGGTGTTGACAGACATATCTGTATGAACCTGCACCAAGAGTTGTCAGACATATCTGTATGTACCTGCACCAGGTGTTGACAGACATATCTGTATGTACCTGTACCAATTGTTGTCAGACATATCTGTATGGACCTGTACCAAGTCTTGACAGACATATCTGTATGAACCTGCACCAAGTGTTGTCAGACATATCTGTATGTACCTGCACCAAGTGTTGTCAGACATATCTGTATGAACCTGCACCAGATGTTGTCAGACAAATCTGTATGAACCTGTACCAAGTATTGTAAGACAGATCTGTATGTACCTGTACCAGATGTTGTCAGACACATCTGTATGAACCTGCACCAAGTGTTGTAAGACATATCTGTATGAACCTGTACCAAGTATTGTCAGAAATAGCTGTGTGAACCTGCACCAGATGTTGTCAGACATATCTGTATGAACCTGCACCAAGTGTTGTCAGACATATCTGTATGAACCTGCACCAAGTGTTGTCAGACATATATCTGTATGAACCTGCACCAAGTGTTGTCAGACATATGTGTATGAACCTGCACCAGATGTTGTCAGACATATCTGTATGTACCTGTACCAATTGTTGTCAGACATATCTGTTTGAACCTGCACCAAGTGTTGTCAGACATATCTGTATGAACCTGCACCAAGTGTTGTCAGACATATCTGTATGAACATGTACCAAGTGTTGTCAGACACATCTGTATGAACCTGTACCAATTGTTGTCAGACATATCTGTTTGAACCTGCACCAAGTGTTGTCAGACATATCTGTATGTAACTGTCACAAGCGTTTTCAGACAGATCTGTATGTACCAGTGCATAGTGCTGTCAGCTTTGTATGTTCCTGTCCCAGGTGTTGACAGATCTGTATGAACGTGTACAAGTTGACCTCAGACAACTTGTATGTACCCGTTGTGACCCAGGTACAAATCTTTATGTACCTGTACCAGGTGTTGACAGATCTGTATGAACGTGTACAAGATGACCTCAGACAACTTGCATGTACCTGTTGTGACCCAGGTACAAATCTATATGTACCTGTACCAGGTGTTGACAGATCTGTATGAACCTGTACAAATTTGACCTCAGACAACTTGTATGTACCTGTTGTGACCCAGGTACAAATCTTTATGTACCTGTACTAGGTGTTGACAGATCTGTATGAACCTGTACAAGATGACCTCAGACAACT